GGGGGAGGTGGCCCGGCTGACCCAGCAGGCAAAGGTAGCTCTCGGTGACCCACCGGGGACGGCAGTCCAGTCCCAGGGGCAGGGTGGGCCGTGGGAGCCCAGGTCGGAGCCCGGCCCTGAGAGTCGTCAGCACCTGTGTTCTGTGTGCTAGCCAGCTTCCCACTTCCCCGACGCTGCACTTACGCAGGTAGTTAGAGGTGAGTGTAAGCGGGGCGGACCCTCACCGTGCCGTCGTGACAGGAGTCTGTAAACCCTGCAACAAAGACATCACTTTGTCGTCAGAATCTCTGGATTAAACTGCTGGCAGGAAATCATCCATGGCACAGCTTGGAAAATGTGCTTAAAAATGGAATATTGCATGTTTCAAAACTTCTGAGAGAGTAGATTTCAGGGGTTCCCACCACACATAGGCAAGCGCACACTCACATGAAAGAGTGAGTATTACCCAGGATGTAGCTCAGTGGCACCGCGCCTGCCTCACAAGCCCAGGGTCCTGAGTTCAATCCCCTGGTACCAAAAAAGAAAAAAGAAGAAGAAAAAGTATTTTATCTGAAGGAATGGATGTGTTAATTAGCCTGGTTTAATATTCCACACTGTATTCATAAATCATAACATTACTTCCTGCTCCATAAATATATACAACTATACTTTGTCAATTTATACTAAAAATTTAAAAGCTAAAAGGAAAAAACATATAAGGGAATTTTTAATGGCTTAATCATACACAAAAGTACTGGTTGTCATCTACATTTATTATAAAAATAGAGAACTGTTCCAAGGAAATTTAATAAATTCTCTTGTTTAAATATTTTACATTTTATTAATACCTATAAAATCCCTTCAGAAAAATAAACTTTAGAAAGTAAATAAATAGGGGCCGGGGATTTAGCTCAGCATTTCGGTGGCCTGCCTTGCAAGCGCAAGGACCCGAGTTCAATCCCCGAATAAATAGGGCGGGGATTTAGCTCAGCATTTCGGTGTCCTGCCTTGCAAGCGCAAGGACCCGAGTTCAATCCCCGGTACCAAAAGAAAGTAAATAAATAAAGCAGTGACCCATGCCTGGATAGTCACAGCTTATACTTTTTTCCCTCCCCAAAACCGAACCCCACGCGTCCCTCGGTTCTCATGTGCTGAGCCCTCCTTGTCAAGTTGGGAAGCCTGGGGCTTCCAGCGAGTATGGGAAGCGCGTGCACCCACGGCCAGAGTGTAAGACCCTCCGCCCTCCATGGCTTCACAGTCAGTCTGGTGGCTCCGGGATTCCCCAGCACAGCCGCCCATCTTCTCTAGGGCCTGGTCCCTGTTGGCTGAAAGCATGGGACTGGACCCGGAGGGGCCCTGCACCTGGACCCCGGCAGCCAGAGGCCCAGTCTGTCGGAGCTGTCAGGTCTCCAGTGGCCCTTGGCGGAGACACCAGCAGGTGTCACTCTTGGGTGGCCACATCTCGGGCTCAGGCTCTACTGTGGTGTGGAAAGAGGTTTGCTTTTGAAAGAAAATAACCAGTTTGTTTTCGAGTTCTTTATGTTATAATCAGCCAAAAAAAATGTAAATACAGATAGAACTCGGGACATTTTCTAGAAAATTTCAAAGGGGAGCAGGGTTTTCGGACAGTGTGGCACCCCCCGAAATTTGGCATGCAGCCCTGAATGTGCCACCTAATTACTGCTCGGCGGTGTGGGGAGGGTGCACTGCCTGGGCCCCACAGGGACACCGTTCCCTCGTCCAACACCAAACACGACCGCTGTGTCTTCTCCCGGTGCGGCTCTGCCGGTGACCTAGACCATCTCCGAGTTTGAGAAGGAGATCGAGCTGCTGCAGACGCAGAAGATAGACGTGGAGAAGCTGGTGCAGTCGCAGAAGCGGGAAATGAGAGGTAACGGGACAGTGGCACCAGCGCCGGGGGGACTGGACGCATCCCTGTGTGCGTGGCTTCGAGGAGGCCCTCGGTGCCGGCGGGAACCGGGCCGGCCGGCTGCTGGTCTGGACAGCCAGTGGCCGGGATGGGCAGACACTAAGTTCCTGGCTGGAGACCATGAGACTGCAAGCCCGGGCCGGAGAGGCCACGGGGAGAGGGATCACACATGGAAACTCAGACAGCCCTGCCTTTTCTTCCAGAAAAGATGTCGGAAGTCACCAGACAGCTTCTCGAGAGCTACGACATCGAAGACGTGAGGAGCAGGTGATCGCCTTCGGGTCATCAGACGCTGAAAGGCCGGCGGAAGCAGCGGCAAGACGAGTCCTCCCCCGCTGTCTTCCAGGCTGTCTGAGGAGGACCTGGGGCACCTGAATGAGGACGGCGAGCTCTGGTTTGCTTACGAGGGACTCAAGAAGGCGACGCGGTGAGAGGCCCCTCGGGGACTCGCTTTTCAGAGATGAGGGCTGCGGGACAGGGAGACGTTCACCGGACCCAGACTGACCCAGCGACTACATTCTCGCAGTAGGATGAGCCGAGGGCTGCTGACACTACTATGCAAATTAAGTAATTAGGGTTTTTTCCCCAGTGCTGAAGGAACCCAGAGCCTTGGCACTCAGCTGTGTCCCCACCCTTTAAATGTTTGTTGTTTTGTTTTGTTTTTTTTCATTAAGTCACTAGGTTGCCCGGGCTGAGCATGAACTTGTGCTTCTCCTGCCTCAGTCTCAGCACCGGGATGAACTGCCTAATAGTAAAACCCACACATAACCGCAGAGTAAAGACGGAGCCGTCACATAAGACAGGTGTCTCCGTACAGTGAAGCGTTTGTGGCGATCCCTTCAATTCATAAACTTCTGTCTACAGCGGTTTTCAGTTCCTGCAAGACCGAGTGAGGGTGCACCGCTCCCACGTGTCCCTCGCCTCCTCACAGTGCCCACGGTTCACGTCAGGGTGGGCGCAGGGCCGCCCCTCCTGCGGGCCTAGGCCGGGGATAAGGACACACATGTCTCCAGCCGTGCACAGCACGTCCTAAACCGCAGGAGGGAAACTCATTCAACGGTGGCCAGCGGCCGTGCCCACACTGGCTGCCTCTCCCGGGAGCCCGGCTGCGTGGCTTATTTCTCGGCCTCCCTGCAGAGTCCTGGAGAGCCACTTCCAGACCCAGAAGGACACCTACGAGACGGAGATCGAGGCTCTGAACGCCAAGGTGGTGCACCTCAGCCGGGAGGTCCACCACCTGCAGAAGCTGTTCCGCGAGGAGAGTGACGTGCACGACAGCGTGCAGCGTGAGCTCGCCAGGCTGACCTCCGAGAACGTGGTGAGGCGCCTGGGCCCTGGGCTGGGCTCCGCTCTGTTCCCGGGTGGTGAAACACTGGATTGAGATCACTTTGGAGCTGTACTGGGATCGGAACCCAGCACCTTCTTTCATCCCCACCCCTTTTTACTTTCTATTTGGGATAGGGTGTGAGTCACTAAGTTGTCCAGGCTGGGCTCAAACTTGCCATCCTCCTGCTTCAGCCTCCCAGAGGGCTGGTAAATTCCTTTTTCTGGAAGTGAAATAATGGGGTCAGAAAATAAAACTACAGCATGGCCCAGCTGGAGAGCACTCTGGCCCAAGAGTGCATCTGACTCGGCTCCAGTCCTGGGCGTGTGTGCCTGGGCACTCAGACCTGGATTTAAGTCTAGTCCTGATCCCTTGGAAAGAGACCCAGACATTAAGGCACAGCATAGCTCTTGCGAAGCAAGGGTTTCAGACCCGTGCTACTCAGACTCAGACTCGTCCTGGGCAAGGACAAGCCCCCAGGACAGCAGGACGGTGGCTTCGACCTGAGTGGGTGCAGGGGACAGGCTCAAGGTATCTATCACAGATGGAAAGGTTAGGGATGTGGATCGCCCGGCCACCCCCAACCCAGCCACAGAGCAGTGCCCGGCTGGGACCAGAGGCAGCCACGCCTGGAGGGAGCGGGACGTGTGACTCCAGGCCTTGCCCTCCCCAAGCGGCCGAGTGGTCATGGGCACCGAGCCTCAGGAGCGTGCTGGGATTTCTTGAGACAGCTGCGTGGGTCTTGAGGCTAGAAAAGCAAAGAAAAGGAACAAGAAACCATGGTGCCAGCCGCTCCCAACCCGCGAGCCCTGGCATGGCTCTGTCCTGCGGGTGGGGCGAGACAGAGTGGCTGGCTTCCGAGATCGGAACGCTCCCAGAGAGCATTTAATGTTCTGACATCGGTACTTCTTCTCCAAAGATGATCCCAGACTTTAAACAGCAAATTTCAGAGCTGGAGAAACAGAAACAAGATCTTGAAATCCGCCTACAAGAGCAGACAGAGAAGGTGAAAGGTAAGGGACGCCAGAGTTCTTCCCCAAGAACGGACTTAGAGCTGCGCCCGCAGAGCCTGGCCACCCTGCAACCTGAATCAGGGAAGCCTCACCGTGGTCCTGACTCCCTTCTCGCTGCAGGGAAGCCAGAAGAGCTGTGGAACCTGCCACGTCGCAAGGAGGAGGAGGAAGGGATGCCCAGAAAGTGAGTGTGACCATGTGGGTCGGCCCAGGTGTCCCTGGCCCTCGAGTGGCAGCACTCGTGTGACGGTCACTCTGGCAGGGATGTCTCCTCTGCCTTCCACAGGGCACTGGACGCCCAGAGTGAAAGAGGCACCAAAGTGGAAGAGAGGCTGGTGGGCTCCATCCAAGGACTGCAGGAGTCTGGGGGGCGGCAGGAGCCGTCAGAAACTGCTGCGGAAGCCCCCCGGCTCCCTTTGGAAAACAGGGTGAGAACTGTGAACGGGTCGGGGGCTGTCAGAGTGCTGGTGTTGCCCATAGGGGACACACCCTCCCAGGGCCCACAAGAGCAGCTGCGGAGCAAACGTCCTCCCAGTAGAGTGCCTTTTCCTCACCTCAGAAAGACCAGTGAATCAGGCAGGTGTGGTGATGCTCACCCTATCAACAGTTGGGAAGCTGAGGCAGGAGGATCACCACAAATTCAAGGCCAGCCTGGACTACATAGCAAGATCTTGTCTCAAAAGCCAAACACCCTCAGAATTCAGGAAGAACTGAAACGCTGTGTGCCTGTTACAGAAGCTATTTCTGGGTGTCTGTGACTCTGCCTGGTCTGAAGCCAGATCCAGCCCAGTGAAGCTGCCTCCTTCTCAGGAAGGAGAGCAGGGCCAGGGGTTGAGCTCAGTGGTTCTGCCGCCTGCCTTACAAATGCAAGGGCCCGAATTCGATGCCCAGTACAAAAAGAAAAAAAGAAAGGAGAGCAGAAGCAGGGCCTGCTCTCTGAGCAGCTTCTCTGGCTCCTGACTGTCAGGTGCCCTGTCCCCGTGCTCACAGTCCTAACTTCTCCGCGATGGGCATCACTGCACAGAAGAGGGCACCGGGTCTGTGTACCATGTCCGTACCGCAGGGCTCAGCACAAAGCCAGGAAGCACTGGAGTGCGGGTGAGCACTGAGGGCATCGTGCTGTGCCAAGAAGCCAACACAAAATGCCACCCTGTGTGCTTCCTTCTGTGTGCCGTGTCCAGAACAGGGGACAGAGGAAGTAAATGAGTGCCTCAACGAGTCGGAAGGGGGTGGGGCCCGAGGGACAGCGAAGGTTACAGCTCTGGCTGCACAGAAGCCCACCGAGTCGTGCACTTCCTGAGCGAGTCACAGGCTCAGTGGATCAGTGACGCTGTCGGGCGGAAGCAGATGGAGATGCTTCTGCGCTGACAGCCTTGCTCTGATGTCTGAAGGGTCTTGAGGAAGAGCTGGACATGAAGGACAGAGTGATTAAAAAGCTGCAAGACCAAGTGACGACCCTAACCAAGACCATTGAAAAAGGTGGGGAGATGAGATTCGTTTTCTTGGTCTTGTGAGCGTTTGGCCAAGGTTGTCGTGCGTGGCAGCCTGCGTTCCTCCGGAGGATGGGTTCTCGGGTCGGCCTGGATGGCGGGAGACGGGAGACTGGCTCCCTCGGGTCTGAGCAGCCGGGCGCGCTGGGGCCTTTGCAGGGGCGCCCTCTAGCGGATGCTTTGAACCTCTCCTTGGCGAGTGTCCCTCTTTAAACATCTTCTAGTTTTTACTTCTGATTAGTCCACGTTTGCAGTAATAATGATCCCATTCATCGGGGGACATCGGTAAGGTACATGGCACCCCTCGGTTCTGCGTTTCACCCCTTTCCTTCCTCTCCTTCCTTCCCTCCCTCCCTCTTTTGTTCCCCTTCCGTTTTGCAAAAACAAATCTCTCTCCGTTTCCTGTCATCTGTCTTCTATTTTGCTCTTTAATGTATTTAGTTTTTAGTTTCCCATATAAGAGAAACCGTGCAATATTTAAGCTTGTGCGCCTCATTTATTTCACTTAACACTACGGTCTCGGGTCGTCCACTTTCCTACGGAAGACTCCGGCTTTCTTCGCGGCAGAGCAGTGCTCCAGTGGGTATTAAATCCCACATCTGCCTTCTCTGCCCACCCGCTGGAGGGCACACAGGCCACTTCCAAGCGTAGCTACGATGAGTCGTGCTGCTGTACACATGCGTGTGCGCGGGTGGCTGGACGATGATGTCCCTGTCCCTTCAGGAAGATCCCTAGACGGGGAGTAGCTGGGTCGGATGGAACTTCTCCTGTCGGTTTCCTGAGGGATCTCCAGATGATTTCCGTAGCAGTTGTACCAGTCCATATTCCCACCAACAAATAAGAAAAGTTCCCCTTTCCCCCACAGCCTCGCCAGCATTTGTTAGTGTTTCATTTCTTGATGATGGCCAATCTCTCTAGACTAGGATGAAATCGCAGTGTTGTTTTAATTTGCATTTCTGCGATGGTCAGTGATGTTGAACATTTTTCCGTGCATTTACTGGCTGTTTGTACTGTTCATTTCAGTTGCTCGTTTTTAATTAGATCTTTTGTTGGGGGGCTCTAAATTTTTAGTTCTTTATATTTCCTCTGTCTGAGAAATAGCTGGCAAAAATGTTTTCCCATTTGTGTAGCTGTCTCTTCACTCTATTGGTTGTTTCCTTTGCTGTACAGAAGCTTTTCAGTCTGACATGGCACGATCCCATTTGTTGATTCCTGATATTATTTCTTATGTAACTGGGGGTTCCGTCCGGGAAGTCCTTGCCTACATCTATGTCTTCTAATTTTCCCTATTTTGCCTTCCAGCAGACTGTATTTGTTTTAACATTTAGATTTTAGATCCATTTTTATTTAGTTTAGTACACGGTGAGAGATACGGGTCTAGAGTCAGTCTGCTGCATGTGGACAGCCAGCTTTCCCAGCTTCTGCTGAAGAGGCTGCCTTTCCTCCAGCATACCTTTTTGGACTCTTTGTCAAAGATCAAATGATACTGGGCGTGGTGGCGCATGCCTGTAATCCCAGCACTCAGGAGGCTGAGGCAGGAGGATCGCTGTGAGTTCGAGACCAGCCTGGGCTACATAGTGACACCACAAGAAAAAATTATATGGGAACCCTGTCTAAAAAAAAAAAAAAAAAAAAAAAAAAAAAAAATCAAATGGCTGAATGTGCCTGGGATTGCTTCTGCTTCTTTGGTTCTGTTCCACTGATCCTCATGCCTGTTTTTGTGCCAGTGCCATGCTGTTTTTATCACTGTAGCTTTGAAGTATAACTTCAAATCTGAGATTGTGATGCCCCTGCTTTGCTCTTGACTTCCAGAATTTGTTTTGCTATTCTGAGTCTCTTCTAGTACTATTTAATTTTAGGATTGTTTTCTCTAGTTCTGTCAGCAGCACTATTGGCATTTTGATTGTGGTGGTGTTGAATGTATATGACAGTTTCGGAAGTGTGGCCATTTTGACTATGTTGGTTCTACCTATCCAGGGAAAGGGGATATCTCTCCATTTTCTGGTGTTCTCCTTGATCTCCTTTTTCAGAGTACTGTAGTTTTCAGTGTAGAAGTCTTTCACTCCCTCGGTTAGGTTAATTCATAAGTATTTAATTTTTCTTAATGCTATTGTGAATGGTATTGTTTCCCTAATTTACTTCCCAGTGAGTTCATTATTGGTGTACAGGAACACTATTGTTTTTTCTGCATTCATTTTGTATCCTGCTACACTACTGAATTTGGATAATTCTGGGAGTCTCTTGGTGGCATTTTTGGGCCTTCTGTGTAGTATCATGTCATCTTCAGATAATGATAGTTTGACTTTGTCCTTTCCAATACTGTCCCTTTTATTTCTTTCACTTACCTGACTGCACTGGCACATGTTTTGAGTACTATGTTGAACAGGATTGGTGATCATAGAATCCTTGTCTTGCTCCTGATTTTAGAGGGAAATCTTTCAGCCTTTCCCTATTTAATATGTTGGCATAAGGTTAGTCATAAGTGGATTTTTTCAGAGAGATATATACGGTCTTTCTATACCTATTTTCTTCAGAGTTTTATCATGAATGGTTGTTGGACTTTCTCAAAGGATTTTTCTGCACCTACTGAGATGATCCTGTGATTTCTGTCCTTGCTTCTGTTTATGTGATGTATTACACTTATTGATTTGCATATGTTGAACCATCCTTGCCTCCCTAAAATGAAGCCTGCTTGGTCATGATGCATGATCTTTTTGATGATTTGCTGCATACTGTTTGCCAGTATCTTATTGAGGATTTTTCATCTATGTTCATTCAAGAGGTTTTGGAATCAGGGTAATGCCTGCTTCCAGGAATGATTTTGAGAGTGCTGCTTCCTTTCCATGTCATTTGAAGAGTTTGAGGAGTGCTGGTGTTAGATCTTTCCTGAAGTTTTTGTAGAATCCAATGTTAATTCATCAGGTCCTGAACTTTTCTTAATTGGTAGGGGTTTTTTATTATTATTGCTTCAATTTAATTGCATGTTATTAGACCATTCAAGATTTTTATATGTTCCTGGTTCAGTTTTGATAATTCATTTACATCAAGGAATCTATTCATGTCTTCATTTATTGGTGTACAGGTTTTCAAAGTAGTTACTAATCTTGATTTCAGTGGTGTCCATTGTGATTTTGCCTTTTTAATTTCTATCTTCACTGATTTGGGTCTTTTAGTACCCTTTTTTGGTAAGACTGGCTAAGGGTTTATCTATTTTGTTTATTCTTTCAGAAGCAGCTCTTTGACTTGTTGGTTCTTTGTGGAGTTCTTTTGTCTCAGTTTCATTGATTTCTGCCCTGATCTTTATAATTTCCTTCCTTGTGTAGCTTTGAGTTTGGATTTCTTGTTTCTCTAGGCCCGTGAGGTGCATCATTTGGTTACTTACTTGGGCTCAGTCTGTTTTCCCATGTGTGCATTCGCAGCTGTAAACATGGCTTGAAGGGCTGTTTTCCTTGTCTCATAGTGCCCGCCCCTTTTTAAAAGTACAGCTGTGGTTGGGGATTTAGCTCAGTGGTTCCTCCCCCTGCCTCACAAGCCCAAGGTCCCAAGTTTGATCCCTGGTACCAAAAAAAAAAAAAACAAGGGCCGGGCATTTAGCTCAGTAGTTTGGTGGCCTGCCTCGCAAGAGCAAGGACCTGAGTTCAGTCCCCGGTACCAAAAAAAAACAAATCAAAACAAAAACAAAAAGTGCAACTGTCAAAATTTTTTACAATTAACGTACATGGGCTCAGAACTTCTTCTCTCTTAGGAGAAGGAAGAGGTCCCAAGCCCCGGGTGAGCCCGTGTCCAGAGTCCCTGTGCCCTGGGAAGGAAGCTGCTCCATCCCTGCTCCACAGTCCCTGAGCTTCGCCTGGCTTCTGCTCTCTTCCCACCACCTCTCCTTTGTTCTTCCTCCATTTTCCTCTCCCTCCCCGCTGTCCTTATTGAGGCTGCCTGTGACTGTTCCTTTCCCTGTGTTTATTTGTTTACACATAATCCTCTGTCCTTATGCATTCACCTCTTACCTCAAGTCTGACAAGCCCAAGCCAAGCAGCTCTTCCCCTTTCTCTAATAAATGATACATGTGCTGTGCCCTGGGGAGCGGAACAGGCCTGTCCTTCCTAGTCCTCTGTCCCCAGTGGTGAAGTGAATGCATCGCCCTCTGCACAGACTGAAAATCCACGCGTCCTCGCTGTCTCCCAGGTCACAGGCCCGATTGCCTTGGCTTTCTCTGGTCACCTCCGGCCTGGCCTGTCTGAATCAGCACTTGCAGCTTCCCTGCCTGGACCTGCCACCCACGAGGGGGTGACAAATTGGCCAACGCTTAGGGGCCTAGAGCAGGTGACACTTAGCGATGCCAGGGCCTGTCAAGCTGGGAGGCTGAGTTTCGGACTTCTGGCCTCCAGACCATTTCTGACCTCTGAACCCTAGCACAGGAAGACTAGAAACAGTGTTGCTTCCTCTGAAGGCAGAGCACATGCTGAGCATTTGGGAGGCCTAAATTCAGTCCCAAACACGGAAAAGGAAGCAAAACTGTGCTGTTTCCAGCTGCTATGTTGGTGGGGATTCCTCACAGTAGCCACAGGACAGGAGCCCAGCCATGGTCAGGACTAGGGCTTGGCTCTTTGCACACCCGCGTCCTGCGTCTCACTTCCTGCCCCAACTTGGGGACAGGTGACATCTTTCCTGTCCCCACTCTGCTGTGTGGAGACCTTCGGATGCCGGGGACCCTTTGAGACAGCACTGCCCCGGCAGCAGTGGCCGTCACCACGCGTCTCCAGGACAGAAGAGGCGCAGGGGACAGAGCTGAGTCCCCCAGAGGTGGGGCCCTGGCAGCCTGTGTGTGCTGACCCTGTCTGTCTGCAGCCCAGGACGCTCACACATCCTCAGGAGCCAAGGATTACCTGGGCATGCTGCAGTACCGCAGGGAGGACGAGGCCGCGCTCATCCAGAACCTCATCCTGGGTAGGGCCCAGACCCAGACATCTGCTCTCCTTCTATCTCCGAAGACTGAGCCAGTCAGTGCCCAGTCTCTGACTCTCCTCTGCCCCAACCGGAATCCTCACCCCAGGCATGGAATAGATCCTTGGCTTCTGCCCGCCCCGAGCCACTGGCAGCCCACGTAATGGCTGTGAGACCTGTCTCCTCCCACCAGTGCCCCAAACTGTCCTCCGTGGGAACTCCACCCCCATGTTCTTTCTGGAGCAGTCCCAGGCTCACATGGCAGATGCAGCTCCCGTCTTTGGGTCCCACAGAGGGGCTGAGTGACGTGGTGTTGGCTCCGTGCCCCTGACATCTGGGGACGTCCACTCCCAGTCTTTGTGGCAGGGCGTCCCCTCTGTGCCACCACGGGACATCCCATGGCACATGCTCAGGACAAGGGCCCAGAACCGGCCCTGCTAGGCTGTAGGTGTCCACCTTCAATCCTGCTTTCTGGTCCCGAGAGCTTTAGGTAGGGACCTGGGGTGCAGCCTTCTCTGTCTCCTGGGGACCAAGCCCTCTGCGGGCTCCCCCGCCCTCTCCCCGCTCTCGCTGGTGCCGGCTGTGGGGCCCTCGCTCGTCCCTGTCTCAGTGCAGCGTGGAGCTCGCAGGCCTCCCCAAGCCCTCGCTTCAAGACCTTTCTGCCCTGTCCTGGCTGTTCCCACCCAGGCCATCAGGCCCTCTGCAGCCTGGCGACCGTCCAGAGCGGTTTCTCAGGGCAGGGTGGTGAGGCCACCCCACCCCACAATCCTAGAGAGACTGGGGGCGTGGGACAGGGATCCTTTCTCAGATCAGAGGGGAGCTCTCAGCCCTGCACTGGGGAGCGGACAGAGCAAGTGCCGTGCAGATGGCCAGGGTCCCCGAAGTATCTGCCATGCAGGGTCCGAGCCCGGCCAGCCCACCCTGTGGCAGCTCTGGGGACAGAGCCCAGCAGCACCCGCCTGCCTCCCTGCAGACCTGAAGCCCCGCGGCGTGGTTGTGAACATGATGCCCGGGCTGCCGGCGCACCTGCTGCTCATGTGCGTGCGCTACGCAGATGCCCAGAACGACGCAGCCATGGTGCTCTCGCTCATGAACAGCGCCATCAGCGCCATCAAGCAGGTGGTGAAGGTAGGCGGCGCCCACACCAGCCGGGGTTGCAGCAGAAGGTGCTCCCCTGCCCTCGGGCGCCACACCCCTCCCCATGCCGGCCGAGGGTTAGGAGAGACCCAAGGCCGCAGACCCCAGAGCCTCCCGGGATCAGCCGGGCCACCGTCCCCGCCTCTGTACCCTCCGACACCGCGAAGGCTAAGAGTGCCTTCCATGTAGCGGATGGAGTGGGACCCCCTTCTTCTGCCCATCAAGAGCCCACAGTCTGCGCGGCCACCCAGCCCCGCGAAGACGCACTGTGTTCATAGGCAGTGACTTCACAGGCTGGGCCACGTAGGTGGGGGCTGCCTTCCCCCTCACCCCAAATACGCTCATGTTGCGGAGGTGGTGGGAGTGGCTCTGCCCCCGCAGTGAATGCCACAGGGACCCAGGTTCCTCCTGACCTGCTCAGTCCTCGTCGGAAGGACGGGACCCTAGATGGGTACAGCTGGCTCTGGGTGAGACGACCCTGCCGGGGCGTGGAGACCACCCACTTTGGGGAGCAGTCTCTTCCCAGGGTGAAGGAAAGGTGATGAGACGACAGTCGTGACCAAGAGCCGGCTAAGGGGAGGCTCAGGTCATCAGCAGGTGGGGGCTCACGGCTAACTTCCTTTCCAGCTGCAGTGTGGTCCTAAACCACTCTTGGTTTCCTGGGCTTTCCCTGTCAAGTGATAAAGAGGAAAATAATTGTGAAATAACTGTAAATAAGTATCAGTTGTTCTCTGATACTGGGGATGAACTCAGGGCCTTCACATGGAACTACATCCCAGCCCTTTTCACTTTTTGACCCAGGGTCTTGTTAAATTGCTAAGTTGCCCAGGCTGGGCTTGAACTCAGGTTCCTCCTGCCTCGGCCTCCCAGAGGGCTGGGATCACAGGCGTGCTGACCACGCCCAGCCCAGACCTAGATCCTTGCTGACAGCGACAGTAGCCCTGCAGGAGGAGCGCTCTGTGGCCCCGGTTCTCTGGGACCCTGGGCCGGCCAGCCACGCAGCAGCTGGGAGGGCGGTGATGGGGCCCATCCGACTGCACACTTCCTTCCCACAGTAGGCTGAGGCAGTGATAAAGCAGCTTCCTCTTTCTGGGGAGCAACTGTCCAGGTCCGGTTACATTAAGAGTCCAGTGTGCTGAGTTTTCTAACACACAGGGAGGGGATTGAACCTCAGATCGAGGCCCTTCCAGGCTCTCTCTCCAAAGGGAAGCACCGCCGACACAGGGACCTCTAAATGTTTTAGTCAGCGGAGACCAACCTCACTTTCAGCAAAATACATATTCCGGAGGCGTCAGTCCCGTTGTGAAGAGTAGAGAGGGAAGAACAAGAAAAGCAGATTAGAGAAGTCAGGGTATCGCCATTCTCCCGGCCCTCCAGAGCCAGTTTACTCGGGGACCCGTTCTTCATTCGGATGGAGCGGAGACAGCGCGGGCTTCCTGCAGCGTGCTGCAGTCACCCTGGGTGGCTCCCAGCGTGGCGACTTCCCTGGGTCAGGTTTCTGAAGCCAGGCAGGCTTGTGTGGTGCCCCGGCCCTGCCGCAGTATCTGCCCGTCCTGCCGCTCTGCAGTGCTGGCCGAGCGTCTGTGCACCAGCAGATGCCTGGCCCGTGACCCGTGTCCCCTGTCCCTGCCCACAGCCACTTGCCCTCGGATACACACCAGGACCCCTCGCTGGTCCAGCAGCACCGCTTTGGGTTTCTCCTAAACCGATGGGATCCTAAGCAGTGGCCCCTGGAACACTCCTCGCCCATTTTCTGGCCTCAGTTTCCCTCTCAAATCCAGATTGCTACGCCCTGCTTTCCTGCTTGTCCTCCTCCCGCCACCCCCACAGGCTGCTCTCCCAGCAGCCTCTCGTCTCTCCACCCCATCCTTTCAGGGTCGCCTCCTCCTCCCCTCACCAGGTCCTCACCCCTGTCAGGTCCCCCACCACCTCTCTGTCCCTGAGCTTGGGTCAGTGGGGCCCACGGCCACTGTCCCCCTGCTGCACTAGCTGGGTTGCCTGCCCTCCCCTGTAGGGCACGAGCCGATCAAGGAGACCCATGCCCTTCCACGTCCCTGCAGAGCTCTTGTCACAGCAGCACGTGTTTGGGGCATAAGTGCGAGACAGAAAACGACTTCGGGTCAGGGACCACCAGCGCAGAGGCGAGGTCAGACGCGTCTCTCCTCGCCTGTGTTCAGACACCGACACTTCTTGTGCTTTCAGGAACACCTGGAAGACTTTGAGATGCTGTCCTTTTGGCTCTCCAATACCTGCCATTTCCTCAACTGCCTGAAGCAATACAGTGGAGAAGAGGTAGGGATGGGACACGGGGCTCAGGACGGGACAGCAGCTCCAGGGACGCTTCTGTTCCCAAAAGTGGCTTCCCCAGCCCCAGGATGCTGGGGCCAAGTGACCTGTAGACTCTGGCATCCAGCACAGGCAGAGACTTCTGGAAGCTCGGGCCTCAGCAGGGCCAGGCCGCTCCCTCCGCTCTGAAGCATGGGGAAGTCTGATGACCTGCCCTTCCCTTTTGCAGGACTCTGACCTCTGCCCCTGATACAGCAGGCTCGCTTTCCGGGACCCCTCGGGGTTCTGTAACCTGTAAGCAGACTTCTTTGCATCCAGCTTCACTTCCGGGAGCTGGGAAGGGCTCGTTGTCTCTAGGAGTTCATGGAACTCCGTGACAGAGTTGCCTGTAGGGTCTCCCTGGCTCTCTCCTCCCACGGCGTCGTTTATACCCACCAGCACCGTGTGAGGTTTCCAGGCCCTCGGACTGTGACCACTGGTTGGCATCGAGAGCCGTTTTATTCTTTCCTGATTGATGAATGTGAAATGATATTTGTTTACTTCAGGTGCTCTTACCTGATCACTAGTGAGGCCAAGCACTGGTTCAGGTGCTTACTGGTGGTGGGATTCCCTTTAATTTGCTAGCCACGTCCTCTCTGTTTTTCTTAGGGTGGAGTTTTTTCTTGTTGATTTGTAGGAGATCTGTATTATAACAGATAGACCATGGTTCCTCTTCTGTTTACTTTATGGAGTCCTTTGTCATAAACAGTTTCTGAATTTTGATATACTTAAATCCACCATTCCTGTTCTTCCATGATTTGTGTCTTGGAGACTCTTCCCTACCCTAAGACAATGACCATGTTCCCTTCGAAATTTTAATAGTTCAGACTCAGAGTTCACAATTATGGTTTTTTTGTTTGTTTGTTTGGGGGTGGGTTTTTTTTGTTGTTTTTTGTTTGTTTTGGTACTGGGGATCAAACTCAGGGCCTTGCACTTTCAAGGCAGGCAGCAGAACCACGGAGCTAAATCCCCAGACCCACAATTATGTTTTTATCTAGGATCTCATCTCTTCTTCTGTGTGGATAACCAGACCTCCCATAGGGAGAAAGTAAAGCCCAGAGCTGACCCTACCGGTACTTCTGTAAAACGGGAGAAATGAGCAAAGGACATGCAGTCTGGCACCAGAGGGCAGCAGAGAGCAGAGGAGGCCTCCCCTCGGCCCACCCTTTCACGCCCCTTTCTGTGTCCCTTCAGCCACAGGGAGAATGCCCTTTTCCGCATCCCAGTCACTGGTCCGTGACTGCTTTTGTTTCTAAACTTTCTGCTGTCCTTTCTAACCTCTGCCTGCCATCACTGTTTTTTTCTGCAGTGCTGAGGATTGAACCCAGGGCCTTGTGCACACAGAGCAAGCGTGCAGCCACACCCACATCCATCATGCCCTGTTCCTAATGATCTTTTCCTTTCAGCTCTTTGAATATGTTACACGCACTGCCTTCATCTTCTAGGGACCGCTGTCAACAGCACCCCAGACTACAGTACCACCTACATTCTTCCCACTTCCGAGCTGGAAGTCTGAGACCTGGGTGCAGTGTGCTTAGTTCTGGTGGGATTCTTCTTGGCTTGGAACAGCCACCTTCTCCCTGGGGCTTCTCTGGGCAGTCAGGGCTGAGAGTCCGGGACAGAGGAAGGAGAGAGCGAGAGCACTCTGTGCTACTGATGACTGAACCCAGGGACCTTCGTGCCGAGTTACTGAGTTGCCCAGGATGGGCTTGAACTCGCAGTCCTCCTGCCTCAGCCTCCCAGAGTGCTGGGATGACAGGAGGGAGCCACCATGCTGGGCATCTCTGGGATCTCCTTTTTTGAGGCCTGGGCCCTGCTACATGGTGTCATTGAACCCTAATTCTTCCTAGCAGTTCCTTCTCTAGGGTCAGCTGCGCTGTATTAGGGGGGCCAGGGCTCCAACGTGAATTTCAGCAGCAGGCACAACTCGCAGCCCACCACGTGCAGAATGTCAGATGGGGCTGGACCTTGCAGTTCAAGACGACTGCATCTCTTGTAGTAGTTGGTTTCCAGGTACTTTTCAGCTTTTTCTGTGCCCTTCTCTGTGTGTGGCCCTAGGCTCTGGACAAGGGTCTGAGGTCATGCAAGGAGTCAGGATTTTCTCTTACAGGAAATAAACTTCCAGAACTCATTTGAAACAAGTCAGATACTGAGTTTCAAGGTGCAAGAGTCACAACAGATGCTGACGGTAGCATCGGTCTGGGTATTGCTTTAACGTGCCCTGTGTGTGCAGTTTTCTAATGTGTGTGTGCTCCCACCTGCTTTCAGGAGTTCATGAAGCATAACAGCCCACGTCAGAATGCGAACTGCTTGAACAACTTTGACCTTTCCGAGTACAGACAGATTCTTAGCGATGTGGCCATACAGATATATCATCAGTTCATTGTCATCATGGAGAAAAACATCCAGCCCATAATCGGTAAGGAGGCACCCGATGGCCACAACTCCAGCGGCAACGCTGAGACGTTAGAACCGCCTCCCCTCTCCCCACACCCGCCGCCCTCGAGGGCGTCTGCAGAGCCCCGTCCTCCCTGTCCTGGGCCCGCAGTGCCTGGCATGCTGGAGTACGAGAGCTTGCAGGGCCTCTCGGGCCTCAAGCCCACCGGCTTCCGGAAGCGCTCCTCCAGCGTCGACGACACGGACACCTACACCATGAGCTCGGTCCTGCAGCAGCTGAGCTACTTCTACAGCACCATGTGCCAGAGCGGGCTGGACACCGAGCTGGTGCGGCAGGCGGTGAAGCAGCTCTTCTACCTCGTCGGGGCCGTGACCCTCAACAGCCTCTTCCTGCGCAAGGACATGTGCTCCTGCAGGAAGGGGATGCAGATCAGGTGAGGGCAGGCTCCTCGGTGACGGGGAGGCGGCGTGGCGACCATGCGGGCACACAGCTGGGTGTGCGGGGCCACACTCGGAGCCTGTGCAGGCGGCCCGTGTGCTGAGACCCATCCTGGCTAAGTCCGTCCCCGTCATTTCTCCCTGGGGAGCACTGCTGGGGGAGGCACCGGAAGCAGCGGGAAAGCCCAAGGGCCCTGCGCCGGCCCTCAGGGAGCTCAGACAGCTGAGTAAGAGTGGAAGGCGTGTGGTGGGCACAGAGAGGCGCTTCAAGAAGAGCGAGCGGCCATGGTAGACGGGCGGGGGGGAACGCCGGAGCCGTGCCGGAGGGACAGCAACGCGGCTGAGGGGACCCTCGAGGCTCCTTTCAGGGAGCAGGACCCCGGGAGAGAGGAAGTTCACACAGGAACAAGAAGGTCCGGATGCCAGGCAAAGGCGCTTCAAAGTCCACACGTCGTTCCTGCTTGGGGTACTGGGGACTGAACCCAGGCCTTCACACTGAGCAGTATCCTCGTCTCTTTTTTATTTTGAGACGGGGTCTCGACTGAAATGGCAAAGTCTCCATCTTAATTAAATTGGCTTGCCGCCAGTCTGGCAGGACGGAAAGCACCCCAGGAGCGGCGGACGCAAAGTGAATAAAGCTTTACTTAAGGCCAGGGGGCCAGTCTGTGTTCGCACGCAGGAGACTGGCCCCATCCAGCGCTTGGCCAAGGCGAATGCACCTTTGGGAAGGGTGGAGTTAGTACTTCATTGACATTCTGGCAGAATGACAAAATTATTCTAGAGACAAAGACATTTCTGAGATGCGGAAGTTGGCTCGGACATGTTGAACAAAGAAAATTTCAAGTAGGGAATTTCTCATAGTAAGTCTAGCTTGAACTATGGAGCAAAATTTCCTTGCAAAATTCCCTTTCAGATAAGTCCCTAGGTTGCTCAGGCTACGTTTAAACTTGTGATCCTCCTGCCTCAGCCTCCCAGAGGTCTGGGATTACAGGCGTGCACCACCATCCCCAGCTAAAGCCCACAGTTTCAAGATGCTTGAGCCCTGTCTCTAATGAAGGAGATGGGTCCTGAGCTAGTTAGTGTTCAAATTAATGCTGACAAGAGATTAGGGATCTGGACCAGGGGTGGACCCTGAGCATTTGTGTGACACGTGCAGGAATTGGTACCTGTGTGTGACACGGGAATCCAGGCGGTGGGACCAGGGAAGGTGACAGAGACAGAGTCTGAAGCCAAGGCAGACATGGGAGGACCCATTGCGTTTGACACGGGAAGAACAGACGAGGGTGCCCATGACACGTGCCGCCGCAGTTGCCAGATGGGAGTGACCTTCCTCAGGTTCCGCCCACGCCCAGGAGCCACCTGAGGCAGGACAGCGGCCTGGGTAAACTGGAGCCACAGGCACCACCCAACCCAAGCCTAAAGACCCAGCGGGCACCCTTGAAAAGAACTCAAGTGGCAGGGTCAAGAGGCGTGGCCCCAGACGTCCATCCGCTCACACAGACGCAGCAAGGCCCCCTAGAGATGGAGGCGGCTTACAGCAAAAACTCAAAAAGGTGAACACAGCTGGAAATCAGATCCAAGCAGAGCGCAAACAGGCCGGAGTAGCATGAAAATAAAGTCAGGCTTTCCAGCCACCAGCACAGAAAGGCACCATGACCGACGGCTTGGTTCCACTGGGTGCAGAGCAGACCACCTGGGGCCAGAGGGGACTCCTACTCTACTTGTCCCCGCCACACACTAGGAGGTGAGGACCCAGCCACTCTGCCACTAGCTCTGATCAGGGTCCAGTGCGGATGTGGGGAGTTGGTTCTGTGAGGGGCTCCAGGTGGCCCAGGTAAGCGCGTGGCTTTCCAGCCTGCAGGACCTGAGGCGAGCAGAAAAGGCATGGACTTTGGTCTTGAAGGACAGGTAGGATCCAGCATGCCCACAGTGAGCTGGGTGAGCGCGGGTGGAATGAGGGCGACAACAGCAGGAGTAGGGGTGCCTGACCGTGCCGGAGGAGGCGAGGAAGACGTGCAGCCCGGTGCCTCTCGCCTGCTTTAACCCCTCAGGAGCCTCCTCAGACTTTTGTCATTTTCCTGAGGCTTTATAGTATGAGTCCAACTTTTGTTCTTTGTCACTATAAGACTCTTCATGTATAGATTTCACCTTGGGTACCTTTTGTGGTTTGTGGTTTTTGAGGAACTGGTCTATTTCACCCAATTTGTTGTGTTCATATACACGGCGCTGATCATAATAGAATAGAATAATTCCTGTGACTTCCACAGGATTTGCAACCCTTTTCCATGCCTGACACGGGCAAACACTGTCTTCTCTATTTTGTCAGTCTTGCTGGAGGTTTATCCATACTATTGATCATTTCAAAACACCAGTTTGGGGTTCTATTACTTTCTCATAATCTTTTATTTTTAATATACTTGATTTCTGACATTGTCCTTATTATTTCATGAGTTCTGCTTACTTTGGATTTGTCTTGCCCTCCTCCTTATAGTGCGCTGAGGTAGACGCTTTGATGCCTGACTCTGAGGCTGGTTTTCTTTTTAACATAAGTATGTGAGGCAATAAACTTCCTCTCAGCACCACATAGGGCTCATCTCACAAATATTGGTATGTTGCATTGTCAATTTTATTCATTTAAAAATCTTTTGAGGGCCGGGGATTTAGCTCAGTGGTTCCGCCACCAGCCTTGTAAGCACAAAGACCAGACCCCCCCAAAAAAATCTTTTCTAATTTCCTCTGAAATTTGTTTCAGAGGAAATTGTCCTGCAGATTGCTGAGAAGCTCGTAGTCAAATTTCTCGCTATCTCGCTGTTATTGACTTATAGTTTGATTCTCTTTGGGTCACAAAAGGTTCTTTGCCAGCCAAACTCAGAAAGTGGAGTGTTGGCTCCCGTGGCTCAGGGGGAGGATGATGGGAGGAGGCTGACCAGCCTTCCCACCTTGTAGGATTGCTCCCTGTAGGATTTAGAAATATATTTACATTTAAGAAAACGCCAAAGCATAATGTGTGTGGTTTTAGTTTTTAAACCCCAAATGTGTCATATTTTTGTAAGTGTGCCATATTCAACTGGAGAAACTGATCTTGCGTGGTTGGGTTGAATGCTCCATAAGGCCCAGCAGACTCGGTTTAGGATGGCTGTGCTCAGCTCTGTACCCCGCTGATTCTGTAGCAGTTCTGCTGTTTGCTAGCAGTGGTGTTGGCGGTCTCCAGCTGTGCTTATAGATTCATCTCGTCTTTCAATCTGTTGCTGTAGTTGAAGCTCGGTTGTTAGATATTTACGGTGAAAATCATTATTTCCTCTTGGTGAACCTCTTATTACTTACTATGTCCTCTTATCCCTCTTTATCCCTCCCTGGGGTGTTCTCTACCCTGGAGTCTTCTTTGTCCAAATATAGCTACTCCAGAGTCTTTTGATTTGTGTTTCATAGTACATCTTTCCTCATCTTTTACTTCTAGCTTACCATATTTGAAGTTTCTTTTAGGCAGCATGAAATAGGGTATTTTTTTTCTTTTTAAAATTCAATTCAATCTGACAATGTTTTTTTAGTGATGTATTTGAACCATTTTTAAATTAATGTAGCTACTGGAATATTTCAATTTGGGTCTACCGCTTTATTTTTTTATTTGTCCTTCTTGGTTTTTGTTTCTCTGATTTTGTTTTATTTTGTTTGTTTTGTACCGGGGATCGAACTCAGGACCTTGTGCTTGCAAGGCAGGCAGCGGAACCACTGAGCTAAATCCCCAGCCCTTCTGATTTTCTTCTTCAGTATTCCTTTCTAATTTATCTATTGCATTTTACCACAACTCATTGCATCTTCATTAGTGGTTATTCTAGGGATTACAGTAGGGTCAAGTTTACAGTAGATGATTACAGTTTTTAAATGTGCTACAGTAAAAGGCACATTGCCATGAACCCCCCTTGCTTCGAACACCCTTAGCCACGGTGGGAGCGCTCCCTGCAGCGGCTCTGAGGTCCTCTGTCCTGCCAGGTGGCGGGAATGAACCGAGGCTGTAGCGCCCGTGACTAAGGGGAACAGACCACCTCCAGTCTGCCGGGAGGTGACAGGTGCCGGATCTGCGTGCACGGTCACCTCAGGACGCACAGATTCCAGGGGGCTCATCCCGGCGACGAGGCCTCTGGATGCGAGCTGTCCCTGCGCTGTGCTTTCATTTTAGCCATCACAGCTTCCAAAGGACTCCACAGAAGAGATCTGTACTCACCAACGTGGTGACCAGTTCTGCGGCTCTTTCTTCATTCCGTGTCCCTTCTGTATTCTGAGTCTCATTTTAATATAATTTACCTTCTGCCTAAAGAAATTCTTTCTGTGATCCTTTTAGAGCGGCTTTTCTGGCAATAAGTTGTCCTGGTTTCATTTCATCTAAAAATGTCTTCATTTTGCCATCACACTAACAGCTACTTTTGCAGGATATAAACTTTTGAGCTAAAAGGGTTTTTTTGTTGTTTTTTTGTTTGTTTGTTTGTTTTTGGTACTGGGGATCGAATTCGGGTCCTTGTGCTTGCAAGGTAGGCGGTGGAACCGCTGAGCTAAATCCCCAGCCCTAAAAGTTCTTTTTTTATCCCTTTAAAATAATTGTTTCGCATCTTTCCTCTCTTCTGTGATTCCTAATGAGAAATCCCACAGGCATCTGAGATGTTGTTTTCCACAAGCAATGCAGTTTGTCTGACTGCAGAACCTTGTTTCCATCTGCAGTGTACTAGTTTGATGCTGTCTGTGGCTGCACGTGGTGTCTTTGGGTTTAACCCGTTTGAAGTCCTGAGGTTCTAGACTGCACATTTGTGCCTTTTACCAAATTTGGGGCATTTCCAGTCATTGTTTCTTCAAATATTTTGTCTACGTCACGCTCTCGTCTGCAGGGAACGACTTTAGGCCTTACAGATCCCGAAAGTTCTATTGTTTTCCATTTTCTCCTCTGCCCTTCGGAGTGAGTAACTTCCGTCAGACTTCTGTCTTCCCTGCTGGAGCCCGTGCTGTTAATTCACCTGTTTCTCTTGTTGTGAGCTCTAAAATTCCCATCTGATCTGTTGATATCTTCTGTTTCCTTCCCATTGCTTGCATTATATTGTGAGATGCCAGATTGGTTTTTGTTTTTTGGTTTTTTTCCTGGTACTAGAGATCCACCTCAGGTCCTTATGCTTTTGAGGCAGGCACGGTGACACTAAGCTAAATCCCCAGCCCAACACCAGGTTTTAAATTCTGTGGGGAGCATGGATATTTTGTTGGGTTCTGACTCACCTTCCTCTGTACCTTGTGGGTCCCACGCAGGGTCCATTTCAGAGCCTCTGTGGTGCTGTTTGGCTGTGTGACCGTGGGACCAAGGGACACACGTGCACTCTGCAGGGAACACACAGTCCGGTGTAGCCCAGCCTGGAAAGCCACGGCCATGGCAGCAATCTGTCCTTGAGGACTGTTTGGGTCTGTTTGGTCCTGCGTGACACCCCGTGGCCAGTCTGGAACATGAGGGGTGTTTGTTCCGTGACTCAGTGCTCAGAGCTGCAAATGCCGCCTCAGGCAGACCCGAGCACAGGCACGGTTAAACTCAGTACATTGTCTTTGTGGGTCCCTCCCTCTCCGCGCATCCTGGTGCTCTTTGGTTCCCTGGGGATCCCCTCTTCTGGGACCACACATGGGGTGCAGTGTGGCAAGCACCCACCCTCTGGAGCCCTAGCCCTCCGTTCTCGCCACACCTCGGTCTCCTGCTCCCGGTGTGGTCACCACCCCTACCCCCGTGCTGGTGCTGGGGACTCGAGCATGAGAGAAGACAGAAAACCAAAAGGGAAAGTAAACTCGGGTGTCTGCGCCCTCTCTCTGAGCTCCAGAAGTCCCTTGTCACCTCTCAGCCCCCTCACTGGGCTCCTCGTGGGCATGGACGCCCACTGCTATTTTCGGCTGCGGTGAGTTCGGGGCTGAAGAACTGGGAAGCTCCAGGAGATCGGTGTCAGCGATGAGGCCTCCCAGACACACTCTGCTCACCACCGGTCCTCAGACAGCTGCCCTGAGCTGCAGGAGAGAGGTGGACAGCGCTGCCCCTATTCCAGCCCGAGCTGGATTCCAGCCGGCCGGGCGGATTGGCGTGCTCACACTCAGGCTCACGGAAAGGGGGCGAATGGCTGGGGTGGTCCGAGGGGCCTGTTGCAGCAAAAACAAGAAGGCTGCGAACTGACTGTTGGGACAGAAGTGACAATGCCAAGAAAAGGGGCGGGGAACGGAGATGTCTCCCTCACACGCACCGCGCCCACCCAACGAAGCACGTGCCCCGATTTCCAGCTGGAGAGAGCTACTCTGGAAGGTCAGAGCTCCGAGCGATGGCCTCAGTGGGCATCTGACTGAGGAGGCCCTGCACTGACATCCTGCAGCCTCCTTGGTGGTCATGTACACACGTGTGCGACCCAGAAGGGGCGTAGTTCTCTGGGTGTTGGTCCATTCATGCACTGGGCGACCTTCCCTGTGATGCAGTTTTAGAGTAGTCCAAAAAGAGCTTCTCTGCTCCCTGCCTCGATCGTCCTGCCGATTTGCTTGGACGCCCAGCGATATCCTGTCAGTCTCCATGGATCGGCCTGTTCTGGATGTCTGTCTGTACATCAGCGGATCACAAAATATTCTATTTCTGGTGCACGCCTGTAATTCCAGCACTCTGGAGGCTGAGGCAGGAGGATTGCTGTGAGTTCCAGACCAGCCTGGGCTACATAGTGAGTTTCAGGTCAGTCTCAGTCAGTGAGAACCTGTCTCAAAAAACCAAAAAAAAAAAAAAAAAAAAAAAACCAAAAAACAAAAAACAAAATGTTCTATTTCATAGACACCTCCTTTAATTTAGAAAGAAGTTCATAAATGTAGCAGATATCAGTGCATAAATCCTTTTCTTTTGGCTGAAAAATATCCCATTGTACAGCTCCACCATAATTTGTTGACCTACTCTTTGGTTAATGGACATTTGGTTGTTTTCACAACCAGAACTCAGAATAATGCTGCTATCAAAATTTGTATACAAATTTTCATGTGGACATTTTTTCAGTTCTCCTGAATGTATATCCAGGGGAAAATTGCTGGATATGTTACTCAGCTTTCTGTTACTGTAACAAAATACCTGAGACAATGAACTTATACAGGAGAAAGATCCTGTTTCAGCTCAGAGTTCCAGAAGATGGGTAGGACTGAAATCTGTGATAATTAGTGACAGAAACAGCTGAAAGTTTCCCACCAGTTGTGATTTTTCTGCCAATTTGGGAAAATAATCTGTTTTGTTTTGTTTTGTTTTGTTTCCCGGTACCAGGGATCGAACTTAGGACCTTGCACTGCCAGGCAGGCATGAAGCCACTGAGCTAAATCCCCGGCAATAATGTTTTTTATACCCACATAAGTCATCTGTCCAGGTGGTGGCGCTCACCACGGACCTGGAGGACTGGAGCATCCTGAGCACTGGCCTCCTGATGGCCCCTGGTCTCATGCTAGGTCGAGTGCTGAACTCCTGACCCTGCTGTCCTATGGGGCACAGGGCCCAGCTGCCCTAAGTGTCCTCTGCCCCTGGCTTTCACGCAGGTGCAACATCAGCTACCTGGAGGAGTGGCTCAAGGACAAGAACCTGCAGACCAGCACAGCCAAGGACACCTTGGAGCCACTTTCTCAGGTGGCCTGGCTGCTCCAGGTCAAGAAGACCACAGACAGCGACGCCAAGGAGATCGCCGAGCGCTGCACCTCGCTGTCTGCAGTGCAGGTGACCGGGCTGGCTGGTGCCCCCTGGGTCGTCCAGGACAAACGCTGCCATGGCCGTGGCTTTCCGGGCTGGGGTGCACCCGACTGTGTGTGCCGTGCAGAGCACACGCGTGTCCTGTGGTCCCTGATCGGTACTTAGCAGACAGCGGCTCCAGGCCTTCAAACTCAGGCATGCATGTGCACTTCCCGCTAGGAAGGCGGATGCGCGAGTGAGGAGCCCGCCCTCTTGCAGGGTGATTTGTCTTTGCTGCCTCTGGTTCCCCTCTTCCTGGCTTTTCTCCCTGAACGTCCGTGAGCTGCAGCACGGTGCAGTGGGTCTTCTTCGTGTCTGACTCCGTGCTGTGTCGTGTTCCCAGGTCATAAAGATCCTCACCTCCTACACGCCCATAGATGACTTCGAGAAGAGAGTGACCCCGTCCTTTGTGCGCAGAGTTCAGGTGAGGTCCCAAGGCTACACCGGTCACTTCACTTGCCAGGGGTGGAGTGAGACACTGGCCCAGAACTCAGGCTACGAAACCCGACATGAAAGTCCGTTTGCTGAACGTGCAAGTGAGACACACCCAGCACAGAGGCAGGCAAACCGTGCCTGTTTCCAGAACATGTTTTTGGCCCGGGACAGGGGGACAAACCAGGAAGGGAGCTGGCAGCACCTGGCTCCCACCCATCCGGAGCGCAGTGCGCCCAGGCAGCGCTGGTTGTGAGCATAGAGCTTGAGACCATTTTCTCCTTAAGCCTGTGTTTCTCCTAGTGAACGAGGGCAGCAGCTCCCCGAGCTTTTTCAAGAGTCCCCGGGGGCTTTGAGACCCCTATGGGGCATCCAGAAAGCCCCTGCTTTATCCCAAGACACATCTGTGTCCGATAAAACCAAAGTGAAGATAAAGCACACCGCAGCACGGCGATTGCAAAGCAGCTCCAGCAGCTTCTCGCAGACATGAGCCTGGGTCAGGGAGGTTTGCAGAAGTGTGAGACAGCTTTTCACCAGACTGACTGTCAGAAAATGTTGTGCTTAACATTTACCGTTTGAATAATTCAAATAGATTCTGGCTTTAGGTAGTAATAGGGTGACTGTCAGTAGTCCCCACACACACAGGTGCGCTCTGGAGTCCACATAATTTTAGGAATAGAAAGGGATCCTGAGGCCAGACAGAGAGGGTGCAGACTCTCGAGTGAAGAGAAGTGTTTGGTGTAAAGGCCACACTTGAGGTTGGTGCTGTTGGGTTAGAGCTGAGTCCCGGAATCCCCTGGGTCAGAGAGTGGTGCCAGTCACTCTGCTGATGGCGGAGGAAGTTCTGTGTGCTGCCGAGAGCTACTCAGGGCCCTGGCAAGGCCGGCCTCATGCTCCCAGGCTCCCTAAGAGTCCTGACAGGCTCTGGCCGGGTGGAGCCCCCTCGCCTGCTGCTCCTAGCCATAGTCGTGGTGTGGCAGTGCCGGCCTCTTCCTCACGCGGCCCCGGCTGTTGTTCCAGGCCCTGCTGAGTGGCCGGGAGGACCCTGCGCAGCTGATGCTGGATACCAAGTACCTGTTCCCAGTCACCTTCCCCTTCAGCGCCTCACCGCATGCCCTGGAACTGCTGCAGGTCCCCAGCAGCCTCAAGCTGGGCTTCCTGCACCGCCTCTAGGGAGGGAGGACGAGGCCCTGGCAGGACAGGGACTCGGGGTGGCCCTCGGGAAGGAGCCGGCCCTGGTGCTCACGGGTGGCCACTGTGGCTCTCTGTCCCTGTCCCCCAGGAGTCCTGGCGGCTTCTATGGGACTCCTGGAGGGCTCTGTCCTCTCCCAGGTCCCCAGGCCAAGGCCTCTGGCTTCCTGGAGGCACAGCTGGGTCCCCTGGCCGCTCTTTGGGGACGAGACCCTGCCTGGCCACGGCCACCCCATAATCATGCATTTCTGGCTTCAGAATCCTTATAAGTGTCAAGAGATGACCACTAAAATTCATCCCAGGGTTTTGTGTAAATCTGTTTTAAACTAATACAGTGTCGGAGCTTCCTTGCCATGCAGTTTATCCTGTTCTCTGTAAGGACAGTTCTCTAACCTGTATTTGCCAACAAAGTCACCATAATTGTTTACAGTTCAATATTTTTCACACAGTAACTTCTTTAAAAATCAAGTTTATAAAGGCAACCTACACCAGGGCTGTGATGCCAGCACTCAGGAGGCTGAGGCAAGAGCATCCCCAAAAGTTTGATCTTGGACTACATAGTTTGAAACCAGCCTGAATTTTTATCTCAAAAAGAAAAAAGAAAATAACAATAAGTCAGTCTAAGTGATTTTCTCTGTCAGCATCTAATATACTTTTAATTTTCTAATAAAAGTAACTGAAGATTTATGTCAGTGCCTCCTTTTAAGAAATCCATGTTCCCAAGCTCTATGGGCACTGGCTGTTCCTTGTACCCAAACCTCTTCAAGTCACAGAAAGTCATTGAATGAAACTCTGGGCCCAGGACTCCGCCAGCCACAGGAATCCCAGCCTGGGTCTCCAGGGGTCGTGACGGCAGTGACTGTGACGCGGACCCTGACCTCATTACAGGAGGGGAGTGGCATGGCCAGGACGTCATGAAGCAGGTCTTGCCACTTTGTAAACGACCTATGGCAGTTCATTCCAGTGCCCTGCGAGTGACACAGCAGAGCTGGAAGTCTGTGATCCTTTGATCAGTAAAATATGGGCACTGGACCTGGCCTGGACTCTCGGAGCCCGGAGAGGGCCGTCCTGGACTCTGGCGGCCCTGCGGCAGTGTCCCAGTGCTCCTGTGCTGCATCACCAGCAAACGGGGGTCCCCACCCTTGCCTGTGGGGTCTTTGCCCTGTCCAGACTGCCGGGCCAGTGGCAGCCTCCACAGACTCGCCTGTGTCCCTCCCCGCAGTCACCCTGGGCTGGAGCTGGGCCGCTAAGCCAGGCTGGGCACAGGGTTCCCGAGGGCCGAGCCCATGATCCCTGCCCTGCCCTTGGCTGGGAGAGGGGCCAGGCAGGACCGGGTGGGAGGGGAAGAGCCAGGCAGCAGGGGCCTTCCAGGTGGGTGGGGACAAGGCCACCCTCGTTCACTCAGGTCCAAGCAGGTGAGGGGAGGCGGCCACACTGAGGGGCGGGCAGCACGGATCGGAAGCCGCTCACCAAGTGGACGTGGGAGGAGGGACCTCAGCCCCCATCCAGGGCGGGCAGGACGTGAGGGCGCAATGCAGGCGGTGATGGCCAGCAGCTGAGCCCGACGCCCGATAAGGAGATTAGACTGCGCTGCTCTCACACCTGCTGCACAGTCTCCTTCACACCTGCGGAGTCCAGGTCCCGAGCCCACCCGGCCAGGTACGTGCTCAGTCCCTGAGGTGCCCCCTGCTTCCTACGCAGTGGGCAGCGGGCAGGGGTTCAGCCTTGCTATAATCCTTATCTTCTAGTTCATCCACAGCTGCATGAATGTATTTTGAAATAAGACATTTTGTTTTGAATTATATTAGCTTTGACATCAGGAAGTAAGTTAAACACCTTTAAAATCATTTAGTCCAGTTTGATTTGGTTTTGTTTTTTTCAGTAGTAAAGATTGAACCCAGGGCCTCTGCACTGGGTACATCCCGCACCCCCTTTTTCACCTTTTTATTTGGAGACAAGGTCTTGTTAGGCTGCTAATGTGCCAGATTGGGCTTCGGTTTCTAATTCTCCCGCCTCAGCCTCCCCCAGTGCTAGAATCACAGGTGTGATTCAAAATCACACCTGATTTGTGAGTCAGCCCCGAGTGAAGCTGGGGGGACAGGGAGAGGCGTGGCTAGCGGTGTTGTGCAGAGACAGCTGGGGTCGCAGCCAGGCTCATTGTCTGGCTCCGCTCTCTGAGCGCGCTGCTGGGAGCTCCAGAGTTCCTCCAGCTTGGGAGGCCGTGAGCAAAGCTGCCTGCTGTTCTTGTTCATGTCTTCATGCTGAGCGCTGCCTGGGAGTGGGGGCACTGGGGCCCGGGACACGCGTGTGCCCAGCCTTGGCAGAGGCTGCCCCCGCCCCGGCGATTGCTCCCCTCTTTACAGCCGCTGCGGGCCAGGCAGTTCCGGTCCTCAGTTCTCCGCACTTTGGACTTCTTACCTCTTCCCCAGGCCTGGGGGTGGAACCCAGGGCCTGGCACCAGCCAGGTGAGCACTGTACCCTGCACAGCGCTGGGGCCCCTGATTCTGGGTGTCCCCGTGGAAGGTAGCAGAATCGACGCACTGTGATTTACAATCTGGGCGGAGTAAAGCCACTGAGACCTTTGTATGGCATTTTGACTGTGGGACTGTCCTCTTCTGAGGAAAAGTCCCTTCAGTTCTTTTGCCCTGTGTACCTGAGAAGAAGAGCTTGTTTTAATAGTTTATGCTGTCCCACAGTGTAGAGCGATATCGCTGCTAATACCCCACGAAGGCAGATCTGTAGGGGCTGACACAGTAAGGTGGAAAAGGAAGTCACTAAATGGCCTCGTTTGCGTAATTAACAGAACTGTATTTCTATGTTTGTGTCAGAAAAATCTGGAAGAATAAACACCAAACTAACAATGGAAGCGGACGTGTGATAGGGCTTTATATTCTCGGTATTGATTGTTTTAAGAAGAACCCAGGTTTTAGTAACATTTGAGCCACCTGCTGAGGTAAGCCAGGTGTCCACGACAGTTGGTGGTGATGCAAGGCTATTCCGGGAGGCCTTGAGTTCTAGGAGCTACCACTGCAGAGCAGCTGCAAACTGTTAAAGTCAAAGATAATATCAAAAAGGTGGGGAACCAGTCTAAATTTATATGGAGGAATTTTCGTCTTTTTCTTCTCAAAATGCTCACTGAAGTATTTGCTGTAACAGTGACAATTTCTCTCGTGATAAAAAGGATTATTGTCAGTAGCTGTATTAGACTAACATTAAACAGGAAGTGACAACACCAGGGACAGGAACAGGCGCAGTGCGCGGTCTCCATGGACCACTGTGCTCCATGGGAAGCTCTTCGCGGTGGGGATTTGGAGGTGACTTTATCCCTTGCACCTCTTTCATCTTCCGTCTCTTCCACGGTGAACATGTACAACACCCCTAATTTTAAACTTTAGATTTAAGCTTTCGATTGTGTGTGCGCCTGTGTCCGCCAGTGGGCTTCAAGCCTGCTGGTGACGTCACACAGCACTGGGGTCTCCACCAAACACTGGGGTGCAGCTGAGGGCTGCTCACGCCCTGGGGTTGATGCCAGCACTGAAAAAAGAGGTGGTCCCAAGAACACGGAACCACAGTGAAGAGGAAAACGTAATAAATGAAAAGCAAGGGTCAAAGAAGCGCGTGGCACACACTTTAGTCATGAAACAGTGCACGCAGGTGTGCGTGTGAGACACTGGGCAGAGCTGGTGCAGGATTCAGAATGGACAGCACCAGCAGCTTTCAGGGCTGGAAAAGACTAAGACTGGGAAGAAGACAGTTGTCTCAGTGCACGTTTGGAATTTCAGTCATTTCCCAGGTTCTTTTCCTTTATCCCCACCCTGTCCCTCCCCACTGGGTCCCTGGGCTGCTGTGTCTCCCTTGCCCAGCTGCAGCTCTGTCCTAAACTGTTTCCCCTCCCAGAACAGGATCGTACTTGTCCTGTGTTCCCGCCCTCCCCTCTCGCTGACCTGCTTCTGTGAGCACGCGTGATGGGATAATCCACTGCTCACCATCCTAATCCTCTCACTGGGTGTCCTTGGCCTGACCTTGAGACCGGGTGCGCAGATCAATGCATCGCAGGTTATTCTGTTCCCACACGCCAGCGCTGGCTCTTCTGACAAACCACTGTGGCCAAGACAGAGATTCAAGTTTCTGAGATGAAAGCCAGTGTATGCATTTGCAGCTCACTCTGCTGGTCCAGGCTATCAGATATAGATCGTCTTTACAAAGCAGGAGAAAATCTCTGCACTGTGTGAACATTGGCAGAGCTCGCTCGTGGATCAGATGCGTGCCTGGTGGAGGAGTCCGTAGTAATGATGTGGGGAAGCCCCGCACACACACACGGTTTCCTGCACAGAGCCAGCTCCTCATAACAAGGAGGGTAGAACTGTGCCAACGGCTAGCACAGCTCACTCCTGGTGACACCTGTGCCTGGTGCAGCACGGAGTGGTTACAAGGCAGGGAAACTGCAGACTGCTAACTTCAGCAGACCTCACTCCTCAGTAAATACGGTAGGGAGCTTACAATGCAGGGGACAACGGTGCACCCGGGGAAGTGTAACCGAGCTCGACGCTGGTAGCCTATGTGCGTGGTGAAGTACTCAGTAGCTGTACAGCCGGGGGAAGACTGTACCCACTGTGCAGAGCTCACTCTTGGGTAAAACAGAGTCCTCACATGGTGCCACCTCCAGCCTCGCAAGCTCAAGGTCCTGAGATCAGTCCCAGTACCAACAAAAAAAAACAGAGTCCTCACAGACCAGGGGAGAACTGGGTGCTGTGGACAAGAGTATTCACGTGTCGCTGTGCTGTCTGACTTTCACTCTTTGGGAAGGTCCCTAAGGCAGTAGCTGCGCCCAGTGGAACCTCCAGTTGGAGGGTTTTGAGACTCCACACTGGCTTAATGTTTCTCTTGGTCCCCTTCCCTCCCACCCTTCTCCCTCCGGCCACCTTCCGGCCGCCTTCCGGTCCCCTCCCCAACCAGAGAGGACCTATCTCCCTACTTCCTGTGCGGTCCTTCTGTTTCTCACTTATTGAGGTTTTGCATATGTCATGGAAAAGAAGCCAGGCTGTGCTGAGCTTGTGCATCTGGTTCATTTCCGTTCGCACTGTGGTGTCCAGGCGCACCCGTTTTCCTACACGAGACCCGAGCTTATCTTCGGCTGTGGCGGACCAGCACTCCGCTGTGTGTAAACACTGTAATTTCTCTACCTGTTCTCCTGTGGGTGAATATACAGGTTGCCTCCAAGATTTGGCTGTTCTAACGTGTGCCGCTTCAGTATGACCGTGCCTAGCGTTCCACTCTTGAAACACATCAGGGAGCATACTAAAAATGTTTCTCTTCAAATTCTTGTTCCTTGAATTTTTGTAGGTAAAGTATATGAGTTTCATGTTGAAATTTTAAAAACTTGAAAGCTCCAGCATAAAACATTGTATGCGCTTCTCACTGTACTATGATGTCTTCCAGTGTTTGGGGAGGATAGCAGTGTAGAAGGAAAGAGCTGTCTGCATTGGGAGTTCTCGTTTTAGCTTTTTGAGGCTCTCCACACTAATTTCCACAGTGGTTGTACTAGTTTACATTCCCACCAACAATGCAGGCCATCGCCCTTTGTTAGGATATGATTTCCTTTTTTTTTTTTTTTATTGAGTTAATTGGTACAATCTGGGTATACAATACAGTTACATTCATCATTGGAATTCTGTACCTTTATATAATAGGTCTTCATTCTCAGTTTTTCCCCTTGTCCCTGCCCTCCCTTCACTCCCTCCTCCCCTCCCCAAACACTTTATTTCCATTTTTTCAGTTTCTCATATTTTTTTTCCTCTCCCTTATTACCTTTCCCC